TGAAAGAGGCATTAAAAGCTCTGATGAAATTACTCAGCAAAGACATCAATTAGATAATGTTTCTGCTTTTGATTATACAACTCAAGCAAAAGTAGAAAATGTTGCTGAAAAATCTAAAAAAGTTTTAAAAGCACTTATTAAAGCAAGTAGAACATCAAAGAAAAAGAATGAAAGAAAAATGTTACTTGATGCTGCAATGAAATTAAGTAATGAAATGGCTAGAATGCTTAGTGCAGTAGATGAACAATCTATTGGTAATCAAATAAATATGAAAGGAATTGATACTGATTTAGTTAATGCTGAAAAACAAATTATAAACATTTTAAAAATTGATGATTTAATGGATATTGATCTTAGTAAAACAATGACTGCTGAAATTACTTCTGAAGAAATACAAGCTGAAAATACTGCATTAACAAAAATGCAAACTGTTACTAGTGAAATAGATGCCATTTATAAAGATATGCAAAAAGATATTCAAGCTAAAAAAGAATCTGCTGAAGCAAGTGAAGATCCTAAACAAATCGTTGAAGCTACTTTACAAGAAGCAGTTCTTGTTATGGTTGGTTCATCTATTGGTGTTTTATCTACTGCTACTACAGCACAAGCAGAATTAGTTCAACAACTTCAAAACTCTGAAACTGCAAATGGTGTTCATAGAGATAAAGAATATGCTGAAGATTTAATTAAAGCAGTAGAAGATGTTAAAAGTACTGCAATTGAATTACAACAAAAAATTAAAGAAGATAACGTTAATTCTGATGAACTAGTTAAAGTAGCTGATAAAGTTGGTAAAAAAGTTGAAAAAGTTGTTGTATCTTGTAGAGCTGGAACTAGAACTAAAGGAAGAAGTCATAAATACAAAGATCTTTTGGAGGCTTCAAAGAAACTTGCTGATGCTACAAAAAATCTCTTAGAATGTGCTAAAAAAGTCGATGAATTTGATGACACTCCTGTTGTTGTTCAAATGAATTTACCACCTCCTGTTACTGAAGTTGAGGAAGAAGAAGATATCGAAACATTTGGTATTGACCAATACACTCTTAAGGAAATTGAACAACAAAAGAAAATCTTTGAATTAGAAAAGAAATTAGAAGCTGCCAAAAAGAAGAAAGCAGATTTAGAAGAACTTGCTAAATCTTTCCAAAATTAAATCACTTTTTTTTTACGTTCATTAAATAAAAGTTATTTTTTTTTTATTTTTAATTCATTTAAATATCTTTTTAAAAGCTTCATTAGAAGAGGAAAGTGAAATGAAAAGTATCGATGATTGAATGATTATTTCTGATTGTTGAAAAAACGACAACCACAAAACCCTCCAGATCACTAAACTCATAGACTTTATGTGCTTCTTGTGCGACATTCAAACAGCTAGAAACCAGTTAACTCCTCTTGATGAACGACCCCAATGTCTTCTTGAGGAAGTAGTCAATGTACTAACTCATTTATTTGGGATATTTTATGCTATTTTTATATTTAAGATGTTTAGAAGATATGCCCAAAAACACAATTTAAATAAAATGAACAATGTAGCAATACTGTGTTTCTGTCTTGCATCATTTACTTTATATTTCAACTCTACAACATATCACTTATTAAATATTCTTCTTCCTAACAGTATTTGTCTTAGATACTTCTTTCAAAGATTGGATCATATCACTATTTATATCATGATTTCTGGCTGCTATTTATGTTTTATCTTCACAAGAACATTTGCAAAGGGGTATTTCAAAACAGGTTGTTTAGCCATTTTTATAGTTATAGCTTTAGCTTTAACTGGATTCATCTTTACTATCTTTGCACCACCAACAACAAGAACAGATGTTATTATGTATTTAGCTATGGGATGGTCATGTGTTCTTTATGGCCCATTAGTGTTTTATTTCTGTCCTCTTTCATTAGTCTTTTACTTATTTACAGGAGGAATTTCATATGCAATTGGCACTGTCTTTGTTGCTTGGGATCAGTTAGTTTGTTGAATTATTCTAATTTTTTATTCTTTCTTCAAGGGTGTCTCTCATTTATAGTTCTTTAATCATGGCATTTGGCATCTCATTGTTTGGTTTGCTAACTTCCAACATTCTCTTGGAGTATTGATTGCAATTGATGATGAAGATATTAAAGGATTTAAACAACCATGGAGTGTTATGAAAGAATTATTTGTTGAATATATCTCAGTGTCAGTAAAAAATAATGATAGTAATAATCATCCTTCAATCCAAAGAGAAGAATAATTATTCAGTAAATAAATACTTCTAAAATATGAAATACTAATTTAATCTTTTTTATTGTTTTTTTTTAGCATTTTTTTTAAAAAAAAAAAGAGAAGAAAGTCCATACGTTATGATAAAAATAAGTTTTGAGGGAGTGAGATGGCTCGAACTAAGGGAAGAAGAATAAGAAAGTATTTATAAGAAATCATAATAGACAATAAAGAAAATTTATAATGATGAATATACCCTGTTTAACCCTAAAACAAAGAAGAAATCAAACAGATAGATATGGACACAACAATATTCCATTTTAAACTAACTCCAGAAGAGGCTGATCACCTCGAGCATTATAAAATACAAACAAGAGATGAATCAATTATTAATAATAAAATTAATATTCCATATTTTTTTATTCCAATTAATAACATTATTCCAAAATGGGTAGTTCCTAATATGATTACATTAAGTGGTAATATAATGCCAATTATTGCATTTACGTTAATGACAATATTATATCCAGATTATTCACAACCACTTCCAGCATGGATGAGTATTTTTAATTCATTTTCAATTTTATGGTTTTGGATTGCTGATTCATGTGATGGTATTCGTGCACGTTCTTCTGGGATTTGTTCACCAATAGGAGATTGGTTAGACCATTCATTAGATAATGTGACATATTTCTGTTTTGTAGGGTTTTTAGATCATATGTTTTTATGTAATAGTGTTATTAAAGACATGTTGATTGTATTGTTTATGGTATATACTTCATATTGTGTACAAATACAAGCAATTTATACACATGCAATTAATCTTGGTATTATTAATGCTTCATGTGAAGGAATTATGGGATTTATTGGATTAATCTTTTTAGGTGCATTCATTCCATTTTATGAATTTAAGTTATTTGGTATTCCAGTATTTCAATTAATTCTTCCTATTATTGGAGGATTATTAGTTATTCATACTCTTGTAATGATTAAAGGAATTAAAAATGATTTCCCAGATAAACCAGAATATATAAAAGAATCAGTAGAGATGTTAATTAATTCTATGGTATGTGTTTTTGTTGGAATAATCTTCTATTATTCGTTCTGTAATGAATTTACAACAACTAATTATATTTTTAACAATTTATGGATTTATTTCTGTTCATTAATTTATGTTAATATGATTATTCAATCTCGTTTATTTGGTAGGGATATTCCTAAGTTATATAATATGAAATTCCTTATTTCATTACTCACCCCAATTATTTTTATTTGTTTCTGTTCATTCACAACTTCTGTAATAATAGGAGCTATTGTAAGTGGAGTTGTAATGTGGACTGATTGGATAGCAACACTTCTTTCAATGTTAGATGGACTTCATTTGAAATTATTCCAACATGAGCCAACACGTTTTGCACCAAAGAAGAAGAATTGAATTGTTAGATAATTTTTTTTTGTCATTGAAAAGAAATAATAAAAAAAAAGAAATATTAAAAGAAGAAGTAAAAAAAAACTATAAAATGGTAATCCAGTTTTTGGTTCAAATAGATGTCACAAAGAAGAAAACAACATAAACACAATGAAATAGATAGATTTAAATTATTACAAAATAAAACAATTATTCAAAGAAATCTTGTTTATGTAACAAATATTGCTTATAATATTGTTGAAGGATTAACACTTCAAGAAATTTCAGAACGATTAAGTAGGTTTGAGTTTTTTGGACAATACGGGGAAATTATTAAAATTATTCCAAATATTAAAACATTACATAATCTTCAATCAACTACTGGACCATCATTTTCAGCTTATATTACTTTTAAAACTGCTGAAAGTTCTATACAATGTATAAGATCAACAAATGGAGGATGGTTAGCTGGTAAAGTTTTAAATTCATCATTAGGAACAACAAAATATTGTTCACATTTTTTAAGAGGAAAACAATGTATTAATCCTGATTGTACATACTTACATCAATTAGTTTCAGAAAAAGATTATATTACTAAAGAAGAATTAGGTGCAGGAAAAAATAGAATTGATGATGATATTTCACAACATATTTCTATTGATTCTGAAGGTAATAATTATCTTCCACCAATATTTACTATTGAACCAATAGAAATAGATTTAGATACTTTTCAAACAGACAATCCTGTATTAATCAAAATGGTTAATAGATTTAAAAGAATATTTGTTCGTGATTCAAATCCTCATTTACCTATTCATTCTTCACTATCTCCATTACGTGCTTTTAGATATGATCAAAGTGATTCTACAGTAATTAAATCACCAAATTATATATTTTTCTTATATAACACACGTAATACAATTGATCCTGAAGTTCAAATACCAAAAGAATGGACAGATTGTAATAAAATAACTAAGAAAATTAATACCCATCATGAAGAAATTAAAAATAATACAAATGAAAGTAATGAGGAAATAGAAGAAAGTACAGAAGAAAGTAGTAGTCAAACAAAAGATGATATAGGTAAAGAAGAAATAACAACTACATTAGATGATACTTCTGATAGTGAACAAGTTTTTATTAAAGATGAATATAGTGAAAGTGGAAGTCCATTTTATGGAGAGGTTAATAAACAATTTATTTGTAAAGATTATTTACATACATTTGAAATATTAAATATGTACAAAGGAGATATTGAATCATTAATATCATATTCTAAGAGAAATGAATTAATAAGAGATAATAGAAGTTCATTTGATATTAATAACTTTCAATATATTAAATCATTAATTGATAAAATTATTATTTCTGATGAACTAGAGGTACATGAAGAAAAAGAACAACTTAAAGAAAAGGAAGTAGAAGAAGAAATAGAAACATCACCAATTCAAGAAGATACTGATGAATGGGTAACTGTTGGAAAAGGAGTTTCATGGAAAAAGATCAAACAAAATAAAAAACAAAAAATTAATGAAATTCTTATAGTAGAAAAAGATAATGAAGAAGAAGAAGAAAGTGATGAAGAACCAAAAAGCAAAGAGACTAAAGAAAAAGAAGTTAAAGAAGAAAATAAAAAGGGAAAAGAAATAGGTAGCACTGAAGAAGAAAAGAAGGAAAATAAAAAGGTTTTGTCTAAAAGAGAAATTGAAAAGAAGAAAATGAAAGAAATGGAAGAAAGACGAAGAGAAATGGAACTTGAACGACAAAAAAAAGAAGAAGAGGAATTAAGAAAACTTGAAGAAGAACAAATGAAAGAAGGAGATGAAAGTGATAATGAAAGTAGTGAAAAAACCAAAACAAAAGAAAGTAATGAAATTAATAAAAGAAATGAATCAGAAAGAAGTCACTCATCAAGTAAAAAGAAGAATAATTCAAAAGGAAAAAAGAAAGGTTCAAAGAAGAAAAGTGGAACCAAAAAACAAAATGTTTCACCTTCTATTAATGAATCTAAAAAATCAGAACTGTTAGAACCATCATCTAAACCACCCTCTCGTCCTATTCCTAATAATAAAAGAAGAACGTCTATTGATCCATTAGAACAATTAGAAAATAAAGTAAAAGAATTACATAAAACATATTTAATGCTTGTAGAGAAATCTAATATTCAACTTCAAGTATTAAATGAACGAAAAATAGAAATTCAACCAATAACATGTCAATATCCAGATTCATATTTTATGGTTGACCATTAATTTGTATTTTATTTTTCATTAAATATTATAATGATTTTAACGATTTTTTAATATAAAAAATAATAAATAAGAGAAATATAACATTTAAGTTTAATTTAATTCGTTAATACTTATTGTTTCTGAATTATCATCAATTTGGATTGGTAATTGTTTCCCTATTAAACTAGACCTTTTACTTATTTGAACAAGTAAATATAATGTAATATATGATGTTATAAATACAAAAATTGCCAAGTACGTTATTACTTTCCTTCTACATTTGTTGTTTAATTCTGTTATTATATTTTCTTCACTTTTACTAGTTTCTAATATTTCTTTTAACTGACTAGAACTTTGTGCAGAAACAACTCTCTCAGCAACGCTTGTTATTTTATTCATCTCTTCAGATTCTATTGGTTTTGATTCGCTCATTTACTCAACTTTTATTCTTATTTTCTTCTTTTTAGTTTTTTTTTTGTGTTTTTTCTTTTTTTTTTTATTTATTTTTAAACCTAAAAAAATCTTACATAAATTTATTGTTTATAACAATTAGATTTAATAAATTATTCAGAAAGAGAAAAAATTACCCTAAAATATTATTTTTTTGTTTTAAATAACATAAATTAATTGAATAGAATCAATTAGAAAGGGTGGTCTCCATAGAATTTAATCTTAACAATACACGAAGAATAGTATAAAAGAACAACAAAGAAAGTACAAAAAGAATACCCCAGAGAAGAATAATCAAAGGGTGACAAATATTTGGTAAAGAAGAGTGGTGAGTCTTAGGACTATCAGATTGAGATTTGATCATTTCTATTTTTTTCTGAAATTTGTTGGCTTCTTTTGTAAAAACAGGATTGGAGTCGTCGACTCTCTTGAGTAACCCTTCATATTCATTTTCACTGAAATCATTTGCACTAAAATCATTTTCACTATGAGAAATATCGTTTATCTCTTTAAAGAGATTTTCACTTTCACCTTTCTCCATTAAATGAACATTTTTTGTTCTTTTTTTTTTCTTCTCATTTTGACAATTAGATTTTTTAGGATTTTACCATTCTTTGTCTTATTTAAAAAAAAAAGAAATACTACAAGATTGTTAAACAAATATAAAAAGTATAATAAAAGAAGAAATCCATATCAATTTAAAAGATCTAAACAACAGAAGAATGAGTTTATAGTTTAATAATAATCTCAATATCTCATTCAAATTATTTAAATAGATATCTTTACTGATATTATTTAGTTTTATAACTATTATATACCATTTGTTCAAAAGATATTCAATAATTTAATATAATTCAAAATAAAATATTCAATTATTAAATAATGATATATTCTCAATGATGAAAATTCGAATAAAACAATAAAATAAGATAAAATATTATATAATTATCAAGATATTATAAATAAAAATTATAAATTTAATAATTAAAAATATGAAATTTTATTTTACTCTTCTTTATTTTCATTAATTTATCTATTTATATTATTAATTATAGTTTCTTCTAATTTCTAAACAATAGATTATTAAATAATAAGTATTTCATCATTTCAATCATTCAAAAATATGTTTTATTTAATAATACTTATTTGTAGTATTTCTAAATAATTTTAATGTTCATTAATCGTGTTTAGATGATATAAAAC